TTCCCCCCTCACCTCCCCCACCCCCCCCTTCCCCCTTTACCCAGTTCGGGCGAAGTTCCCCCAATAGCGCATGATCCTCCTGCTCAGCTCCACCTCCTCCCTGGTATAATTCTTCTTAGGATCCAAAGGTTGACCGAAAACGAATTCGATCTCGTAGCCATGCGGGACCCCCATCCACGACGGCCACAACAACGTCGACGCACGATGGTCGAAAAGATAAGCGAAAACTTTGCCCCCTTTTTGGGCCCAACGCTGAGCGAAGGCCATCAGGGGGCAGACGACGTTGTGATCCCCCACGATGTCATCCAACGCCTCCCTGTTCTTGACGGGGTTGTCGGCGTCCAACCAATCGGTGTAATGAAGGATCACGGCCTCGGCTGCCAAATCGTTGGCTTGGGGGACCCCCATCCGGACCCCCCCTAAAAATTCTTCTCTGCTGATCAAACTTTCGTTATCCTTCCCGAAACCTGGGACCCCGTAAACTAAGAAATAGGAACCTTCGTCCCTGACGGCCCCCAAGAGAACTTCCACCTCTCGGGGGGGGCTGGGGGGCGTCTGGGCCCCATAGGGATCCGATGAGGCCTTCGCCCCATAACCTTCCTCGGCCCCATAAGCCTCCTTCACCCCATAAGCCTCCTTGACCCCGTAACCTCCCTTGACCCCATGACCTTCCTTGACCCCATAACCCTCCTTGACCCCATGACCTTCCTTGACCCCATGACCCTCCTTGACCCCGTAACCCTCCTCGGCCCCATAGCCATGGGGTGACGCCTCATCCCTTTGGGGTCTGGAGGCCGTCTTGGCCCCATAGGAATCCGCTGAGCCCTTTGCCCCATAACCCTCCTTCACCCCATAACCCTCCTTGACCCCGTAACCCTCCTTGACCCCGTAACCCTCCTTGACCCCATAACCCTTCTCAGCCCCATAACCCTCCTCGGCCCCATAGCCATGGGGTGACGCCTCGTCCCTTTGGGGTCTGGAGGCCATCTTGCCCCCTTGGCCGCCAGTCAACCCGCTCGCCCCATAAGCATCAGATGACTCCTTCACCCCATAACCCCCAACCCCATCCCCCTCCCTGACCCCATAACCGACCCCATAACCCTCAGCCCCATGCCCCCCATCCCCCTCCCTGACCCCATAACCGACCCCATAACCC